TTCTACTTAATTTTGTACAGAACAGCCCCAGAACAGAGCTACATGGGACAGGCATCCTGGAACACTTTTCTGGGCCTGATATCTTAGTTTTTTTAGAAATGGCATAATCAACAATAACCCAAATCCCTAGAAATCAAGCTTCCACTCTCTGCCAATGTCCTGGAGTTACTGACAATTCCATCTGGCTATCAAAAACAGGATTCCCAGGAATATATGAAATGGTGAGTGGAAAGGAAAAGTTTGTCTTTTCTTGCTGTGGTTTGCACTCAGACCTGCCTGCTTATTTACACTACTCCGTGAGAAACAAGATAGGGAGGATCTCTGCAGCAAATGAGAAACAAAATTTACTGGTTTTACTGTTCGTACTTATGATTTCTATTAATGGATAGTGTAGATGTGGCATATGACAACAAATTTTGTGGTAGAACGCATCAAGAAATCTCATTTAAAGGTGAGTCTCAAGCAGTACGTTCACTTTATTTAAAAATTAAATTTAATGTCACCTCCCAAACATAATTAGTTTCTCATGAAAAATAAACGAATTATTTTTAAATGGGCAGAACTAGAGAAAGTTTTTGTTTACTTCTTTTTGAGGGAAACAGTTTCGTGTGAACTCCTAACTGAGGCATTGTATGCATACAACTTTCTTGCATCTTCCTAGTCGTCATCATCTACCAAGGGATTCCTATACGAATATTTAAAAAACGTTACAAAAATATATAAGATAGATACATATATAAAACACAAACGAAAATCTTATGAAACAACTTATACTAATAACAAAGAAGAGGGCAGAATAAAATATGACTATTACATCAAGTGTTTTCTTTAATAAAACTTTTGCTTGAAATGTTCTGACTTTATGTGATTTTCCTTTAAAACAAAGCACTGATAGTGATCGACTAAAACTGCAGTGCCCTGCAAAGAACGAAAAAAATAAGAAATACAGCAGAAAATGAATTTAAATCTAATCCTTCCAAAAACTTTGTTCTAACTCCTAACAACAAAGATAATACATGTTTGGAAGCAGACCACAAGAAAAACATCACCAAACTAGAAAGTCTGGGGCCAGTGCCTAGATTTAAGTCTTCCAACTAGGGCATTAGGTCACTATCAGAGAACATAGCCAGCAAAGCCAGTTGTGGCTTCACTTGAGGCAGAAATTTTGTCCTGTCCAGTAGCTCAGTCTGCTCTTCCTGGTCCTTTTGAGAATCACAAAAAGTTGAGAAAAAAAAATAGTGCAAGGCTGGAGGAATGCTGACCGCTTCAAGAAACAGGCTTTCCTCTATCACCATCCATAACTGATTCCTCCAGGCACTTGTGTGGACCTTTAACTTGCCAGAGATGGCAACTGGATGGGAGGTAGGACATGCCTTCCAGATGCTGACCAAGAAGAAAACAGGAAATTTTAAGGTGAGGCAGGAGCCCATATTGGGTCCTACCGAGGGTCACTTGAAGCCTGGAGGGACGTAACTGCACAACCACAAACACAACCACCTACTAGAAGTGCGGTGTCCGACACCTAATTGAAACCTGATTGAACTAGGAAAATATCCCACCTCATCATTTCCAATCTTCTTGTCTGTCACTTTCCTTCAATTCTAAAAGAAAGCTACATTCTAAACAAGCCAGCAAAACCATGCCTAAGAGCCATATCACCCCTGCTTCGCATTTCCCCACAGGCTTTCTAGTTCTCCACAAATAATATTGTCCACTCACTTGGCTCCCACGTTCTAATAATTGGAGTGGGGGTGGGGGACGATGTGTAGAGACTGGAGACATTTGATCAGAATTCAAGGCAGCTTCTCACAACTCGCTTGTTTATAGAAAATGAATGTCTGCCTGGCTCGCTTTTTAGTTCAGGAAAGGGGTCAGTGTTTATCAGCACGGTTCACACAGATCCTGGATTCCCCTCCCCCCCTTATCTTAAATTGACCCGCTTTCAAGATAAAGACATAATAGAGAAAGCATTGACCTTACCTGGTCCTTAAAGAGTTGGAAGTCAGGAACCCCTGCTCTCTTTCCCTCTTATCTCGGGTCGTCTGGGCAGAGACTCGCTCTACCTTTGCTGCGCTCGCGCCCGCAGACAGCCCTCCACCGACACCCCAACAAGGACGGCGCGCTCCGGGAGTGTGCGGCCTCCGGGGTTCTACCCCAGGCCCCGACGGCGGGCAGACATTGGCCCAGCACTGCCCCAGGGGCCTTCGCCATCCAGGCTGACGCTCGGTGCTCCTGCTCCCCAGGGCCCGGCCCGAAGCTGCGGGCAGAGCCGGCTCGGGCGAGGCCCGGGACCGCGCGCCGGGGAGGGCGCGCCTGAACGCAGAGCTGCACGCTGAGGGCTCTGCTGCCACTGGCGGGGCCCAAGCCCTTGCGCCCCGGGCGAGCTCCAGTTCCAGAGCCACAGCCGCCCCGCCGCCCAGACATTTCCGCCTCCTTGTCTTGGGGACAGCACCTGGCCCCGCCGGTGACCCCCCTCTCCTCTGCGTGAAGCTTTCTGGCTGCTGAGCGCGCCCGGGTCCGGCCCGGCCCGGACAGCTGCCTCCCCCGACCCACTGCGCCCTGCGCCCGGCGCCCGGTTGGAGCGGGGGTGGGGAGCCGCTTTGGGATGCTAAACATCAAACAAGCCAAGCCTGGGGTATCAGGCCCCGAAGCCACTAGAGCTGCTCTCCAGGGCTCTCGAGAAAGTCCTTGTGTTTACACGGCGGGTGGGGGTGGGGAGAGGAGGAAGGAAGGGGGATAATGTCTGCAAAATCGCCCCACTCCCCGCAGCCCGCGAGGCCTAGCTGTGGGCGAGGCGCCTAGGCGGGGGCGCCCGGCTCAACCCAGATCTCGGGGCTGTGCTTCCAACTCTTGCAGGCTTCTCAGTGCCAGGGCGTCCCCGACAGACCGACACCTCCGCTTCCGACATGGAACGGGGCAGAGACGCGGGGTACCCAGAGGGGAGGCCGATTTCCCGGAGGAGGACGGTCGTGCGATTGCCTAAAGGACTCACCGGAATGTGCGAGCTGGCCGGGGTTCCCGGGAAACCCAGCGCGCGACCTACTTCCCTCTCCAGACGTTTGTTGTTAGTTACATTTCGGGGCCGCTCTCTTCAAGTGCAACTATGGAAGCTGGAGGAGCAGAAGCTGGAGGAACCCGCGGGATGAATGAGATGTGCGCCCACGGCCCTGTCTGCCTTGCCCCGCCCGAAGGCCACCTTTCCCCGATGGGTAACAGTTCCTTCCAACCGCGTCAGGAAAAGACTGTGTTTGGTAGAAAACCCATCCAGTGCCTGACAAATAAGGCTGAGAGTATTCCAGCCCGCTCAGATGATGAGTATGGGACCCCCCCCCCCCCCAGGAGCTAGAATGGGTGAGTGGGCAGCAGGGCCCTGTTCCTTCTGCTCTGCCCCTGCTCAGGCTTTTGCTGGGCAGGGAGTAGGTTAAGAGTAGCTTCCTCTCCATCCAGTTGGGACTTTTGAACCAAACATTTCCCCTGCTGAGTACCTGCTCCAAGACAACCTGGCTAGCATTAGTCCTGTCCTGGGGGCACTACTGCCCATTTCAACACAAGTGTTCAAACTTCGAAGGGTGTTTGTCCTGCTATCCCAAATGCGAGGCCTGCTGAGACTTCTTAAATAGCACTCTCTCTACCCAGCCAACCAGCCTCTTGAAATCAGAGTCTCTTCTAGATATTGGATGGCATGTATCAGAACTGTGTGTGTTGGGAAAGGGGGTAAAGGCCATCTGACCCTCCAGTTCTAAGGCACCACAAGGAAAGTGCCCTATTTACTAGATATGAGAACGGAAGTTAGAGCTGGAGACGAATAAGAAAAGACTGAGAAAAGGAGAAGATGAAGAAAGAAGGGGAGGAGGAGGGAGAAGGAGGAAGAGGTGAAGAAGAAAGTTGAGTTTGGCAAGAAATGAGAATATGCTAAAGATCAATCAATTTACCACAAACACTTTTCAGACTAAGAAAAAGTGCTGGAAGGGACCGAGTTTCACTCCACTGCGGGTCAGTTTTCCTAGGTTGGTTTCCCAGGAGTGACCCAAGAATGGTAGCACTTTTCGAGGCTCTTTTTCTGTCTAAATCACTCCACTAACCCCCCCCCCCACACACACACACAATCCTGTATTCCCCAATGCTCCTATCTAGGCATGAAAAAGCTCAGGAAATTGAAAATAAGAAGAAAGGTTAAAGATTACTTTTTACTGGAAGAGTAGGATAGTGGGGAGAGAAAAAGAAATGGGAACAATTAATTACTACAAAGATTGAGAATGCTGGGGTTGAGTTTGAGGCTCTGGGTTCTGCCCAGGTAGCATTGTGGGGCGGGGGTGGACAAAGGTGATGTACACTGGTAGAACAAAGAGCAAAATCCCAACTCCTAAAGTCCGGTCTGTGAGTCCTCAGGCCAGCAGCTTAAAGGCTGCTCAAGACCAGAGAAATTGTGAGTAGTCAAGGGGTCCATACGTGGCCCCTGCATGAGGATCATTGTCTTTAAACATAAAAGGCACTTGGCAATGACTTCCAATTTCCTAAAGATCTCTTTAAGAAATTTTGAGGGGGGTTCAGTTCCTGGTTAGAAAAAGAAAATTATACGAGCAATAATTGCTTATTCAGCATTAAAATTAAAGTCCAGACCAACTATTTATAACACTGGTTCAATTGTATAAGAGACCACAGTAGAGACTTACGATGTTTCTAAACATTAAAAACTAATTTTTTGGACCCTTCCACTTTCTCTCCCTCCTTTTTTCTCCTGGTGGAAATAGTTTAGCTTTTCTCCTCTCTATTAATGGGTCCCAGGACTGCTCAAGATGTGGTTTCACTCAATCCAAAGAAAGGACAAAACTTCTTCTGGCGAGACAAGGATTCTGGATTTGGCTTTCTGAGCCGGTTCAGAATCCTTTCAGCTCCCAAACAATTCAGTGAGGAAATGGTAAGCCATCCCCCCCACCCCATGGAAAAAAAGTAGCACCATTTAAAGCCAAAACCAAAATAAAACAAAAGGAGGGTTTTTAATCAGAAAAAGAATCCTTTTAATTTGTATAATTTATTAGAAGCTTCTTAGGAACTATATTTAAGCCAGATATCTACATAAGTTACAACAGAAAAAGACTGACGCTGCAAATACCAAACTGCCAAATAATATACACAGATGTATCAATGCCCATAAAAAATAAAATGGGCTAGGAGTAGGGACTGGGTTTCTTTTTTCTTTACAACAAAATGTACAGATTCTAAAAACTAGGCGTTTAGTCCAACTTTTGACAGTGTTTTACAGCTACAAGTTCACACCAAACAGAAAACAATTTTAGCCAGGGCGGTCCCCTCCGAGCCTGGGCTGCTGAGGGCGTCTGGAGGGAGCACTTTCTTTGTGTCAGTGACAGGTGGGTTCTGTCGAAGAGTCTTTCCTCTCCAAGCCCCCCTCTCCCCTTCCAAAGAAATCCTGGTATTTACAAGCGTGTGCACTTGGCGGGCACGGTGTACCCGCACCAAAGTTTGCTAGGTTTCGAGTTCAGAGCCTTGTGTGCGGAGAGCCCTCTCCAAACTACGCCCTGCCCGAGCGTGGGAAACCCATCCGAGTCACCTAAAAGACACCCTCAAAGCTGTTCTCGCCGTGTCCTTCCTTCTTCACGTAAAGACTCCTTGAAGAATTGGATTCGCTTGGTGTTTTTACTTTCTCTTAAAAGAAAAAAAAATCCCACAAATTTTAGAAAAAAAAATAAAGACGTCCAGCAGTTTGGTCTTTGTGTGTGTAGTTCCCCCACCCCCACCCCCTCGGTCTAATCGGGAGCCGTTTCTTAAGAAAAGTCGAAGCAAGTCGGGGCGGCGGGCGGTGGGCGGGCGACGGTGGCGGGCTGGAGGGGAAGCGGCGAGGCAGCGCGCTGGGCCCGGCCCGGCCCCTCTCACCAGGTCCGACCATATAGCAAGGTAGAGCAGGACATGGTGCCGTAGTCCGAGCCCGAGGAGTTCAGGTGGGACAGGCTGGAGACCTGGCCCTGCAGCGCCGCGGGGCTGGCGGCGTGGTGCGCCAGGTCCGGGGACTGGCCCGCGCTGCCCGGCTGGTGGCCGGGGTGTGCGCCCAGGCCGGGGCCGCCGCTGCCCACGGAGATGGCCGCGGCCGCCGCCTGCGCCGCCTGCGCCTGCTGCTGCGCCTGCTGCTGCGCGTGGCCCTGCAGGCCGCCGGCGCCCGGGGCGGGGGCGCCCGCCTGGCACGGTTTGCCGTCTTTCACCAGGACTGGCACGGCCACGCGACGCGGCGACTGCTGCTGCGCCTGCTGCTGCTGCTGCTGCTGCGGGCACCCGGCGCCCCCGCCGCCGCCGCCGCTGTCCTGCTGCAGCTGCTGCTGCGCCGCCTTGTCCTTGGCCTGCCGCTTCATCTTGTAGCGGTGGTTCTGGAACCAGATCTTGACCTGCGTGGGGGTCAGGTGGATCATGCTGGCCAGGTGCTCGCGCTCGGGCGCCGACAGGTACTTCTGCTGCTTGAAGCGCCGCTCCAGCTCGTACACCTGCGCCTGCGAGAAGAGCACCCGGCGCTTCCTGCGCGGGGCGCTGGGCAGCGGGGCCATGTTCTTGCTCACGTCCCCCAGCGAGCCCAGGCCGCCCATGCCGCTCATGTTCATGCCGCTCGCCGGGCCCATGAAGCGGGAGACTGTAAGCGACAAACGCACAGCGTCGGCGGGGCCGGGCCGGGCCGGGGCCCCTCTGCCTGCCTGCCGTGCCCTCGGCCGGCCCGGTCCCCTCCGACGGCGCCCTCCTCACCTAGGCCACCTCCACCACGACGCGGAGAAGCCCAGCCTCTGGGCACCTCCAGCGCCCATCCCGGGCCAAACCGTCGAGGAGTCCACTGCCGAGTTTTTCCCGCCTCGACCCCGGCTACCTCCCAACAAACACCGCGGAGGGAGGACGCTCCTGTTCCTTTCATGCCCAACCCCGGCAGTCGCAGGGTTCGTCGGCCACAGGGGGCAAACTGGGCCCGGGCCGGGAGCTGGGGTCCGACGGCAGACCCCCAGGTCTGGGCGCTAAGGAGAGGGAAGTGTTCACTTCCGAAAGCCAGAGCCTCCCGACACTTTGCCTCCGGGTCGCTCCCTCCACGAGGGCACTTGCTCGCCCCGGGTAGAGCCCCTCGATCACGCGCCTTCCCACCTGCCCACAACTCGGCTGTTGGGACGGCCGGCCGGGCGCCCGAGCGCGTCCCCGAAGGGAGGTCTCTCGCCCCGCCAGGCTGCCTCCGCGGGCGCGCTGGGGGCCCGGGTTGCCCCGACTGCGGGTGGGTGGGCTCCCTCTGCGCTCCGGGGTCCCGCGCGCCAAGTGGGGCAGCCGGGCGGCCGCATGTTAGAGATGCCGCAGGACCCAAGCCGCTAGCAAGTGCCTCTCCTTTTGGACCCCGCAGCCCAGCGACGGGAGCGCTCCCTCCCCGGGGCTCCCGGGCCCAAGTCCTTGGCGCTTCTGGTCCGGCCGCCCACCCCGTGCCCCGCGCGGTGCGGGCGGCTCACCCCGCGCCTCCCCAGCTCAGCCCGCGGCCCTGCAGGGGGCGGCCTCACTTACTGGCGGGGAAGCGCGGGTCTGGGTTGGCGCCGTACCATGCCGGGCCCGAGGCGCTGTTCCGCATGGTGTCCTGGTACGGCGGCAGCTCGCTCATGTTGCCCAGGTTGCCGTTGCAGTAGCCCCCCACGGCGGAGTGCGAGAGCTGGGGCACCCCCGCCGCCGTCATGTGGTAGGCGGCGGTGACGGCGCCGTGGTGCCCCACGGCGTGCTGCTGCATGGCCGCGGCCGGCGGTGCCGCCTGGCCCTGCCTGTAAGCCGCCAGCGGAGCCCCGAGGCCGCCGCCCTCCATGCCCACTTTCTTGTAGCTTTCCTCCAGGGGACTCAAGATGTCAGACACTGAGAACGGAGTCGTGTGCTTTGGACTCATCGACATGATTCGGCGGCGGCTGGAGGAGGAAGGAAGAGGAGGAAAAAAAAAAAAGGGAGAGGGGGAAGGCGAAGCCTCGCTGCTTTTTTTTTCCTCCCTTTGCCAAATATTCTGGTGTTACCTTAACGCCGATCTTGTTGGATGTACACGTAACCGAGTGGACCGAGTCCGCCTTAATTGGCTTGAGTGGAGGCTCGGGGGCTGCCTCGCGTTTGTTTTAGCCCGGCGCCAGGTTTTAGGCAGCCACCAGAGGCGGGGCGTAAGCGCTAAAGCAACAAGACAATAGAAGCCTACATCTTGCCCGAGATAATTAGCTTACATGCTGATGACAAGGTAAACACCTTTAAGTTTCACTTGTCAGGATTTTTCGGTCTCAGAAACCGGGAGAGAGAGAGAGAGCAAGCGAGAGAGCAGAGAGAGGCAGAGACGCGACCCAAAGCATTTCTTTCCCCCTTCCACGGACCCCCCACCCCCATATTTTGTGGGGTGCGGGCGGCACGCGGAGGGGGGGAGGCGGGGGAGGGAAAGGAGGAGGGAACCGGGAGAGGGGAGGGCAGGAGGTGGGGTGGGGAATAGCAGAGGAGGAAGGATGGTGGGGAGGAAGCAAGGTGAAGGCTGGCTGCTTTGCAACCAACTTGCAGAGTTACAAAGTGGGGCCACTTTCCCAGACGGTCGGGGTTACCCGGGTGGGGACGGGGCTTTCGAGGGAGGGAGGACGAGGGACGGGGGTAGGAGTTTTCACCTGAGCCTGGCGGGGCTGCTTCTCCCTCCCGCCGCGGCCTCCCAGCCCCGCGCCTTCCCACCGCCTCCGGACCACATTGGGCTTGCCGGCGCCGAGCCCCAGTCGCTCCCGAATGAGCGCGCCAGTCAGGGCACGAACCCCTGGGCCGCCCCGGCGGTCTGCGTGTCCGTCGGTCTGTCTGCCTCCAGTGCCGCCGGCAGAGGGACACCTCTGCTCCCCGCCCCCTTTCCCCTACCCGGGAGTGAATCCCAGCGGGCGGAGGGGGCGCTGAGCAGGGGCTCGCCTGCCGCCGAGAGGCCGTCCCAGATCCCGGCGTTCCCCTCCCCCCCCACCAGCCCGGGGTCCCCTCTGCGGCTGGGGCCCGCCGCAGCCCGCCCCCGCCCATCCCACCCCACACTCCGACGAGGCTCCCTCTCCCCACCCCCATCCCTGGCGAGCCCACCGCTGGCTGCTGGAGCTGGGAGGCTGGGGGTGGGGGGGCGGGTGGGGGAAGGGGGGGAGGACGAACGGGAGGGACGATCACTGAAGTGGCCCCACCTCGAACAAACCTGGTGGCCCTGACCCTCGCCCATGGCCCGGACCCGCGGGATTCTGGGGCTGGAGCTGACTTTCCAAGGACATCGCAGCCCCAGCACCCGAGCCCAGGGCCGACGCGGCTTTCCCCTGCGATGGCTGGGGAGGGCACGAGCTGGGAGCGTCGAGCGCGCCCGCCCGCCTGTTGCGGCGCGGTACTGAGCCCGAACCCCGGCCGCACCCGCGGGCCGGGAGGGGGCGAGTCCCCGCCCTCCCTCCCCCCCGGGCGCCTACAGCCTCTTGGACGGGAGGTTGGGCTGCGGTTCGCCTTCTCCCCGGAGCTCAGCCATGCAAAAGTGCACTTGCTTCCCCGGGAATAACCAAATATCTTTGTTTAAAGTGGCGGCGTAAATGGCCAGGCGCTTTGTGGCCACGCTGGATATTAGTGGATGAGGATCATTCTGCTTCAATTGGGCGCCTCTCATCCAGCGAGCAAGAAACTGCTTAGGAGGAAGCGAGTTTCCTGTCTGCGCGTTCCCAGGCTTCAAGTGTGAGCCCCGCGCCTTGAGGGTCCTTGGACGCCTGGAGAGGGGGAGCTGTGGGCTGCGCTTCCCCGCGGGGCCCGAGGCCTCTGCCGAGATGCTCCCACCAGGCCTGGGCCTGCCAACGGTCCGCACTGCCGAGCGGATCCCTGCGTTGTACAGATCCCGAAACTCCGAATCACCCCGTACCCCCCACCCCGGTTTTAAACGTGTTGTTGTTGCTGTTGTTATTGTTGTTTGTTTTGTTTTCTCTGGCTTTTTAGTCTCTTCTCCACGCAAGGGGCTGAGAGGGCGGAGCGCTCCCTGGCGGGCCAGGGCCCTCGGAGACACGGCAGGGGCGGGTGAAGGAGGCTTCTCCAATTTGGTTTTTGTTTCCACATCTTCTTCGCCCTCCTTGGAGACAAGGAGCTCCCGATGATGAACAGGCACTTTTGAACGATTTAATTGTGCAGGCTAGGCTCTTTTTTCCGCTGATAGCGACTGTAGTAGGCAAAGTTGTTGGGCTGCTTGGCTATTTTAAGATTTCCATCCTCTTCTCGAGGAGAGCTCGCTGCACTCCCTCCACACAAAGCCAACTTCTATAACGCCTTCCTCACCACCTGCATTCCTCACCTGCGAGACAGAAGACTGGGGGCACCCATCCCCAGGCCCGCAGAGGTTCCCTCTGCCCTCCAAGGATTGTTATAGGCAGGAAGCCTTAATAGTAATTTCCCCCCCTGGAAGCTGAGATTCGCTTGTCAACAGTGCACAAAAGCCGCATGGGACGTGTGAAGCCTGTTTCTCTGCCCTTTCATTCAAGGGTTTTCTCTGGGGGGTTGGAGGGTGCTCTCAGGAAGAGCCCACAAGGCTCAGTTTGGTCGAGGGGATGTTTGAGACCAGGATACAAGAAGGGAAGTTGACCAGGCCTCTAGTGATCAGGAAAGCTGAATACAGGTCTGGTCTGCACCCTCACTGGGGTCTTCCTGGAGGGGCGGTGAGTTTTCCAGACACCTGTCTGCCACCTGCTCCTTTATTCCATATCATTGGAAAGTGTATGAAACCTCATGTGTAGAACATGGTACTCCTCTCAATGACCTTATGGAGATGGAGGTGATTCTTCCAAAGGTTTCACATGAGATCGGGCACACAGAGCAGGATTTTCTATCATCGGTGTAGATATTACCCACTCCCCCCACCCCCTTCTAGGACCTGAATGTGACGGAGGGAAAGGGTTAAATTTGCCACAGCCCCCAACCTCTGTGTGGCAGCCCGCAGCAGGCGGGGAAAGCTTGGCAGGCAGCCTCGTCCCCCACCCACCCGGCATCTCCCCCTCACTTACAGTCAGCGGTAGGGGGCTCTGGAGCTTGAGGGGAACGGTTGAGAATAACAGCTTCTATTCGGCCTCACTCTCTGCCAGCAGCCAAAGGTATGCGGTCCCAGAGCCAATCTCCTACCCGCCCTGGACCTTGAAACCCCTGCCCCAGTCTCTGCACCTGCCACACTGGTGCGCGCGTGCGCACATACACACACAGACACGCACAGGTATGCACGCACACAGGACACACGTGTATGTACATGCACGAGGGCATGCCTACAACACATGTAAGCACTCCCATGCACACGTTCACGGCAGGCACTCCTTCCCACAAGAACGACTGGGCCAAAAATAAACCGCCCCCCCCCCAACTAAGGAGCCTAGTGGGGAGAGGGAGCACGTCTGTAGTCCCAAGCTTAGTCAAGCAAAGACCTCCAGAGATCTGAACTCCCTTGACCCTGAACAACATCCGGGGACTTAAACGCAACCTTTCTTTCTGCTCCCCTTAATTTATTTTAAGCGGGGCAACCCCCCGTTAAAACAGTGGTTTCTCTGGTTTCAGTGGACACATGGGAGCCCTTGGACCCACAAGTCCTCCAGCATCTGGCAACTAACTCACTGGGGAGCAGGTTCAAGGTCTGTCCACAGCGGGCTTTCCCGGGACCCCAGTCTTGGCCACATTGGGCAAGGTGGTGCTGTGGGGCTCCGAGTGTGTGGGCAAGCAGGCTGCACCCCACTCCCTACCCTAAAAGCCCGCTAAGGATCCTGCATTGTAGGTTCCATGTGCATCTCCCACCTAGCTGAAGGGATATACTCCACAGCTCTCTCCCCCACTGTGGGCCACTTATTTGAGAATGTAGAGAAAAATTACTCCTGTTAAAGCTCCTGCTCAGTGGGTCCACGAGAATGTGACTGACCTCTTCCTTCCAGCCCCACAACTTTTTCTAATTCCTTTCCTTTTTCGTCACATCTCTTCGCTGGGGGTGCAACTACATTTCCTTGTGTGACTAATTTTCTCCAACTTTATCACACAGTTCATGATTCCTTCAACAAATATTTATGGAGAACCAGCTCGGTGCAAGGCACTGCACTTGGCCTGAAATTTCAGTCTCCAACACTCTCACTATTGCTCCTAATGCACTTGGAGTTTAGGAAAGCTAAATTACCCCCCAAATAAGGTGCATTTGTGACACAGTGTTACTCTAGTACTGAAAGAAGTTTCCGATTAAGCTTTATGTTTTGTTCCCCCCCACACACACACGCACACCCACCACCACCACCACCATGATTAACTGGTCTGGTCTTTAAGATTCAAGGGGTCTTGGTACCAGCACTTGAGAAGAACCCAGGCTTTGCAGCATTTTTATCTATGTAGTGTGTGCTTGTGAATTCCCAATTGCAGCCTGGTGTTGATTTCCGACTCGCCATCCTTGCATGTGAGACCTTGTTTGATTTCTTCTTCAATCTTCCACCACCTCAAGATAATGCTGAATTAGAAAAACAAAGACCCTCCTAGGCCCTGATTCCTGGTTCAAAATGGTCCTAATCTGCCCTGGATATTTCGCAGGTGGTTTTGGAGGATTCGGGTACCCTGGATTCTTGAGATTGCACGCATCAGGCAAATCACTGACAAATCATTGACCATGGAGGTGGGAGCAACTTTGGGAAGGAGAAAACTGTTCAAAGATAACGGAGTATAACGCTCTGGTCGCGCGTTTTGAAATGCAGAGATACCCAGACCAGGGTGGGGAGGGGCTGCAGCTGCAATTGCGGAGACCCAGCAAGACGGAGGTGGGCTGAAGTAGGGGACCGCCAGAGACCAACTCCGAGCTGAAAACGAATTCCAGCGTCGGCGTTTGCGTGCTCTGGGTTCTTCATTATCGTTGAACAGCCCCTAAGCCTTTGAGAAGTGGATAGAGGAATGATTCAACTATGCTCGGGTTAGAAGGAGGTTCTCCTTCTAAGGCTCAGGGACCCCACCCTCCACCCCCACGGAGGCGCTGCGGGGGCGAGTTTTGCAGCCAGCCCCAGCGGCAGCGAACGAAATGACAGATGCTAAAAGAATTCTCGAGGCGGCGCGGCTGTTATCCCCACAGGATGTGTGCAGCTGGACTCAACTTTTGAGCAGAAACTTGCAACCTTCCATTTCCGACAAACCGCAGTTGCAGTAATGTGTGTCCATGGACCTGAGTGTTTGCCTTTCCCGCGGAAGCCAGTAGGCCTGGGCTTCCCCTCCTCCACTCGGATTTTTTTTTTTTTTGGCAATTTCCCCCCTCCCCCTCCCCCACTCCACCCCTCCACCTCCTCCTTTCTGATGCTTGGCCGTGGCAGTTTCAGGTAACCGCAGTGCCAACTCCAGGAACTCCTGGGAAGCTCTCCGAGGCGCGGGGATTCCCGCTTGCAGCCTCAGAACTTGGGGTTTCGTGGGTCTCTGCCAGACCAAGGCGATACGCAGCGCCCTCTTCCGGCTAAGCTGAGAACTGCACGGTTAGAAGAAGCTTTGTTTCTAAGTAGGCAGAGCAAGACTGGTTGTGGTTTGAGACTGCTATGTTTACTAGTTTATCCACCACAATTTTGCCCAGCTTACCAGTTCACCGCATCATCTACACAACCATATATTAACCTGCCAATATATCCATCTAAATCCACTGAAAGATAAATTATGATCGATTTGGGGGACGACCCAGGTTTCTGAACCTCCTTGAAAGAGCTTATGTGCAGACCAAGATCTTGGATGGCGCTGTGTTAGCCAAACTCTCCTTTAATATAGCCTGCTTTGATATATCTCGTTATGAGAACTTCCTTTCCAAGTCTGATGGCAATTGCACACTTATTTGGCAGCCAGTGGAGTAGCTTGCACTTTCCATATGTCCAAAGCCTACAGTTTCTTAATATGGAAACTGTAGTGTCAATCTGAGACATATTAGTTTCCTGAGGCCACAGTAACAA